TAAATAAATAAAATAAACAATAAAAGGTGAATCAAATAGACCATTACGGCAAGGCTGGGATGGTCCATTTGGTAAAGTAAATCCGTTGAGCATCTTTCTTTGCCTTTAGACAACAATTCTGATGCAAAAGAACCAAACGGGACAGGCGAAAGAAAAAAAAAAATCCTGGCACTCCTCCTGCACTTAACAGCGTACACTATGTTACTCTGTTTGTGTCGGGGACCCGATCCTTGGGGTGGACCCGTTTTTGGCACAGAGTGTTTTGGGGTTTAAAAGCCACAGAGACGCGGTGTTTAGAGAAAATGCGTCTCTGCTGTTCCAATATTCCTAACATGTACGGGATCACTACAGGTTTTCTCTTAGGCAGCGGTTGTCCTTCTCTCCTGGATCAGCTGAAGCTTTCTTTTGGAGCCTTCCCAGCTTTGACAAAAGTCCAGCTGGGGTAACCACATTTACTCAGGGCCTTCTTGATGTTCTTCTGCCTCCCTGGCTGCTGTGTCAGTGGGGATGGTGTTCGCTCTGTGTTGTAGCGTCCTGATGACGCCCAGTTTGTGCTCCAGTTAATGATGAGAGTCAAATGTTGAATACTGATCTGTTTGTGTATGTTTACGGTACACTTTTAGATGTCCCCCATTACTGATGGAAATCTCACAGTCTAAGAGTGGCAGGTTAGCCTTCTTAGACTGTGGCTTTTAAACCCCAAAACACGCTGCGCCAAAAACTGGTCCACCCCAAGGATCGGGTCCCTCGACACAAACAGAGTAACAGAGTGTACGCTGTTAAGTGCAGGAGGATTGGCAGGATTTATACATCGGGGAAACCAAACAACCTCTGGCGAAGAGGATGGCACAACACAGAAGAACCACCTCGTCAGGCCAGGACTCTGTTTACACCTACAAGCCAGTGGACACTCTTTCAACGATAAGGATGTAACATCCTGGACAGGGAAGGTTAAGGAACTGACCTCCCAGCCCATTGTTCCTTCACTGAGCTGGTTTCAGTCATTATGCAGATGTCCTGTTTATAAGATTGAAACCTGCAGTCAGCTGAGACTGAAGATGTCACCTGATGATGATGAAACGTTTCTCCCACTGAAAACACTGCGTCCAGATGAACAGAATCAACTTTTGGAGATATTTCATAGACAGTTTATGACGTTGAGCTCAAGTGCAAACAGATCAGCTGATCTCAGTGCCAGCCCACATCAGCTGATAATGGGCTGGGCGTGGCCACAGTTGCTGCACATCTTCCAATCCACCGTGCTTTATTTCATATTTGTAATAGCCCATATGGAAAAGAAATAGTAAAAACTTATAAAAGACTTGCATCAGATGTGACCTACTTCATATAGTGAATCATATCAGGCTTATATGATTTACTCATGAAAGTGGCCACTTTCTCATTACTTTCATATATTGTTTTAGGAAATATCCAAAACATACGAGTTTCACACAAGACAGATACAAACTTTATAAGATTTATATAAATCTTTTCCATATGGGAGACCAAGGCTGCTGGGGGCTTCCCATGAAGTATTTCTTCTTCACTATCTGCTTTTACATAACTGCATGTAATCCTTACTTATTATTCATCTCTGGCTTTCTTCCAAAGTGTGTATTTAATCCTGTCTTCCTCCCATCACCCCAACCAGGCCGCGCCCCCCCCGAGCCTGCTTCTGCTGGAGGTTTCTTCCTGTTAAAAGGGAGTTTTCCTGCCCACTGTCTCCAAGTGCTTGCTCAAAAGTGGTAATTTAATTGTCTTGTTGTCGGGCCTGCCTTACAATATAAAGCGTCCTGAGGCGACTGTTGTTGTGACTTGAACTGAACTGAATTGAAATCATACCACTAAATATGAATTAGTGCAGTCGGTAACCACAGCAGTCCTTTCTGATTAGGAGCTCACTTACATTAGCCAGTCTTCATTATAAATGGCAGCACTCGAGATTCACATTTCAACACATGAATTATTAAAAAAAGATGAATATTTAAATTCGGAGGAGTCGACTGACTACACAGCAAATTCAAAAGTGTTAAATGTTTTGGTGTTAATAGTCTTCTTGCAAAAGTAGAGTTAATTTTACTCTAAGCAGAGTCACATTCTTTTAATGTAACTCTGAGGTGTAAAATGATAGTAGTTAAAACCGAGTGTTAAAAATGAGTGTTTCTCTGTCAAATCTGGAGGTGTTACAATGGAAACATTAACTCTTGACCTCTGAACTCTGAACTCCTACAGGGGCTATGACACCAACAGAGTAAATTCACAGACTCCGCCCCCAGCACGGCTCCAATCGAAGCTGAAGTGAAGCCGTTTCAGAACATTTTGCTCTACATATTTGAGTTGTTTGCCATGCTTGGTAAGTCATTTTTTCAAAGATTGTTTCAATTATTATCATGAGCTTTTACTTCTGTGGCTCTTTGGAGTTGAGACAAAGCTGTGTGAAAGGCATTAGCCATGTTGCTCGCTGATAGCATAATATTCTGTTTTAGCTAGCTGAAAGGTATTGTTTGCAGGCAAATACCACAGCCTTGAAAAAAAGCTTGCATGTGAATTTTCAGTCAAACTTTTGGTCAAATACGCCTAAAACAATGTCTAGAATGTGAAATGTTGGTATAATGGTGCTACTTGAAGCCTGAAAACGATCACCCATAAAAAACACGAGCAAACAGCAGCAGGAGACGCCCTGACTGGGTTCTACGTTAGCATAGATCCCTCCAGAGTTTTGTGCACACGGTTTAGGTAAAAATGAAAAAGGTTGCGGTTTTACATTTAGTTCAGTATTACCTGTTGCCTGTGTCTTTGTCTTTTGGGAAAATACTTTACACAAGTAATGGCTCAAAGAGGATTCCTTTTTTTTACTGTGCTGCAATTGTTTACTGGATTATTTGTGCCATTAATTAGTGTCAACTAATTTTTATTCAATCTCCACACAGGATATGCTTGTGAAGATGAATATGGGGGAGAGCAGAAGTGCGTTGAAGTTCCACAAAGGGATGAATGAAGGACATGCATATTGTATTGAAGAAATAAGTGATGAGATGCTGTTATTTGCATTTACCATGTCAGACCTTTTGATAAACAAAATTCTAATGAAAGTGAGAACATGTACACTGTTACATCTTTCAGAAAATGTTTTGAAATTGTGGTGCACAGTTCAGAATAAATGTTTTTCCAAAACCATTGCATCTTTTTAGTAAATGTTTATTTCCAGAAGAAATTTCTAGAAGTTCAGAACAGTAAAATTCCCGCTTTTTAGAATGAATTAGAAGATAACTCTTACGTAGTTAAACTAAAATACTCTTTGAGAGTTAATATATAAACTCTTAACACCAAGTGTTAAATGATCAACTCCAGACAGATTTGGTGTTTAACACTAAATCAGAGTTAACGTACCAACTCTCCAAAAAGAGTTAAATTAACACTCTCTGGTGTGGACCCATATAGACACTTTAATAGTGTTGAAGTCAAATCCGACAGTGTTAATTTGGACATGCTGGATTTGCTGTGTACCAGTGGTCTTGAGAATACTACTTGACAACAACAGCTGTATCAAGAGACCTTTCAGCTGATCAACTTTAGGAATCATGTGACATTTAAACATCACATTACCCACTTAATAAAATCTGACATTTAGTATTTTCATGCTCACTGGATATACACAACTCTTTTGCCTATAGTTATCAATCACAGCAAAATAATGAAGAAATTAATCTCAATCAAGCAAAAATGCCAAAGCTTTTCAAGTTCTAGCTTCTTGAAAGTCATACTGTGAGCTTTTCCATGAGTTATAAGTATTTTCACACTGGCCCAGGATCACACTTGTTAGGACTGGGCTGAACCCCGAGAGCACCTCAGATTAAAAACAGTTGTTAAGAACATTCTTTCTGGAAACAATGTTACTAATCGACATGTCAGGATGATGTAACCTGTAATTTAAAGTAGCAGGCGTAGCTTTACCTTGGTGGCTGTTGCCAATTGCTGACTGGCTGACATTGGGCAAGGAGGAGAGGGGTGGCTCTCTCAGTATGGGGGCAGGTTGTGTACTCCCGGAGCAATCTTCACTAGGCTGGAAATTCCCCACGGCATACACACCCTGCATCCAAACACACTGACAGTAATGAGAAGCATGTAGCTAACACAGAACCTTTTGAATATTGAACCAACGAGATTTTCAGTCTGTATGTTTTAAATTAAAAAAATAGCAACATCAAAAAAAAAACAAAGATTAAGGTAAAAGTGATGTTTCTGTAACTAAATCGCTGGAAGATAATGTGTATTTTTACTATTTTGGGGACTGCACTGACATATGATTATCACCTGTTACTGACATGTATTTATCTTTTGTGTCACATCAATTTTGTAGCAAAACTCTTTAGACTGAGTTAGACTGAGGAAAAGATTGTTCTACCTGATGCCATAGGTTTAAATACCAAGAGCTCTGTGATCATCTCAAGTTCAAAGACACCTCAAGGCCATTACACACTTGTGAAAAATATTCTTCTGCTTCACTTAATCTTAATGCAGCTGTTCAGACCAACAAATCTGTGGGACGGATTTGCAGCATTTGATTTTTCAAACACTGGTTGTGATAAAGGCTGACCAGAGTTTGTTTTTGACTTTCCTCAGTCTCTTTAGTAATACGTGGATGGACAGGCATCCAGGGTTTCTCTGGCTCATCTGGTGATTGTTTGGCATGTTTATGGGGCAGCTGTTTTTTTTTCAGAGGCAACAAGTCTATTCCAAGACTCTCTCTCTCCTGCAGAGAAACCTCTGTCAAGGTTGCATGGCTGTTTCTGCCAAGAGCTGCCAGAAGAACCGCGCTGGGTTCCTGCCACTTTCACCGCTCCGACGTGCCAGCGTTCCCCTTACCTGGATGTCTCAGTGTCACCAGCCTGCCTCGGTTTGCCTACTTACCAGCCTACTAACCTGTTCACCTGCTCAGCCAGCTGTCTGCTGTAAAAAGTGTGACAGGTAGGATTTATTGATTCACTCGATAACTCCACTTGTTAACTTGGCAATTTAAAATGTCAAGTTTTCCCTCTCCCCTCCGATCCCTCATGTGCTACCAGCCTATAAGTACTTTCCTGTGTCGTCAAATTGCACGGTAAATAACCTTCATCACTGCATTGTGAGTTTGGGTTGTTTTGAGTTTGTCTGCCCTTTTGGGTCTGCTTGACATAATCGCATATGTGCAGATGAGATTTCCCTGATTGGATTAAACAGATCGAGCTAATTAGACCACAGCGTTTGGCAACAACTGCACTAGTAGCTCAAAACACCAATACTGAATATACAAATAGTAAAATAACACCATTTTACATCAGACACACTGGACTCTGGTCAGGATCAATTGGCTCTCTGAAAGGATTTCTCTTGCTCTTCAGATGTGGTCACAACTCTGCTAACAACAGCTCAAAATTCCCCAAATGCTCACAGAGAAGGTCAAAGCGTATGACTCTTACTCTAGCAAAACACCAAATGTATCAGATCAGTGTGTACATTTTAGACAGCTGACAGCAGAACTACACATAGGTCAAAGCCAAAAAATCCCTGCTGGTGATGTGAACTGCACCACCAGGCTAACTGGTGCCAGTTAAAAGTCTTGTGTAAAATGGGCTTGGTGTAGCCAAACACTTTTAAACTGTGTAGGCACTTCAGTGCACTTATAGGCACCTCCAGACTTTCCCCTTGAAACCATTTATGAATGCTCAGCCACTCCTGATAGGCTGATATGTCCCAACAACAGCTATCGGACTACCATCTCAGCCAACCTGGGGGGCCAGCAGCACTGAAAACCATGCTAGACATTGCGAGTCAAGTCATGTTAACAGTGCAGCCACAAACAGCAGTGACCACCATCTCCTCAGCAGCAGTACTTTGGTAATTAAACTGGCCATGGATCAAGATGTCATTAACCTGCTGGAGGCAAACAGCTAGAGTGGAAGTAGCATCAGTATGCAGATTTGCCACTCAACTACTACATGCAAGTAACACGCCCACTCTCATTTCAGCGCCTGAAGCAGTCCTTCCCAGCTTGTGCGGTATAGAGCCTCAGCGGAGATCTAGTTAGATCTAGCCCTGCCCCCCAGTTACAATGAGGGGCGGGGCTTTTAGTTGCTCTGCCCCTCGACTGTGGCGTTCCTTACCCCCTGACCTCAGAAATATTACTTCATTCCCTCATTTTAAGTCCACCCTCGAAACTCACCTGTTTAAAATTGCTTATGTTTAAACCTCTGCATGCTCTTAACTTTTATCTGTTACTCTTATTATTGTGTATATTCCCAGTTTTTCTGTTTTTATATACAGTGGGGCAAAAAAGTATTTAGTCAGCCACCGATTGTGCAAGTTCCCCCACTTAAAATGATGACAGAGGTCAGTAATTTGCACCAGAGGT